AGGTACACATGTACTTAACTTTCATTTATTTCGTTCTGGTGCTGATTTTATACGTTACATTCGTGTTGAACTAAAACTGTATTGACGTACATTTAAAACGCAACACATTTTGGTGATTGTTTATAACACAATCATGCTTGATTCCCATATAACTACTATTCACGCTTACCATACTTCTTTCTGTTTGAAAACAAATCATTACCTGAGTTACTCGAGTAAGTTGAATATACTGAAGTAACCGAGTAAGTTGAATATACTGAATATTTAAAGTCGCACGAATTTCTTCAAGTGATATTTGAAATCAATAAGTGATTTTCGACTGTTTTTTTTTTCTTCGTGGAACAATTCTTTCAATCCATACCCACAATATCAATAAAAAATGTTTCATTTTCATATTGGGAGACTGAATAAGGCAAATCTGAACTGGCCATGCGAATATTGCAGACAGGAATACGTGAATGTGCTTTTGCTATACAGTTTCGCGACAAAAACCCCTCTTACTTATGTTATGGTACAGGCAGACGGGATTTTAGGATGGCCACCCATGACTAGATAAATATGTAGTGACAGCGCCGTGTCAAAAAAATTTGACTACGCTACATGACGTTTCAATTAAACTTTCGATCAGCCAGTTTCTTTTAGACAATGTTTTACAAGAATTGCATAATTGAAAATGAGAATTCAAACGATAATCTAGAGTTGCATTGTTTACGTCCGTCAGTTTAATTGATATCATTGACTGCTATAAACAATAGCCCAGTAGCCAGTACTTCGGTACCGGCATGAAAATACGGATTTTGTGTTATCAACATTTGCTGTTACAAAATGTTGGAAATTATTTACAATTTAGGAATGTATCTCCCTCATGCAAAGCTCTGATTCCTTGCCTGCATTTGGCTATTCATTTTTGTCCTTTTTGGTTTATAGCTCTTCATCTTTTTAATAAGCTTTGGATTTTCAAATATTTTGGCCTCGAGCATCACTGAAGAGACATTGATTGTCGAAATGCGCATCTGGTGCAGAAAAACTGGTACCGTTTATGTTATTACAATCAGTTTTTGATCCAAACGTGTACATTATAATGTTAAAGAAAATGTTCTTCTTTTAATGTTTCTGGAATATCTTCCGTTAAATATATTCTTTTCTTTATACTATGTTTCAATATTCTTTTGGGCTCTTATCCTTGTTTTACGAATGAGCAGCAAATTGTTTTCTTTTTTTGATATTGTATTTTCTCAAGCTTTGCCATCTTTTTCATGTTTTCTTGTTTAAAATAGTTATTATTTTGATTTTTTTTTAATGATCACGTAAGTTAATATCAAAATTAAAATGACAAAAACCAATTATAATGTTTATATTTCAAAATTCATTCAAATGAACCTATATTTATTTAATTTACGTAATTTGCACTTCTGAATTTCAAATAACCTGTTAAACCTGTGAAATGCAAAAGTGATCAGCAACACAAGGTGACTGATACAAAGCCTCTTGTTTCAAAACAAATGTTGCCATTGTTCTGTGTATTTAGTCATTTCTACATTTAGTTGTAACTTATTTTAATCATTCACATTTTAAAGTGTGCCTTCAAGAAGTTCAAGTGTCATAAAAAACAAATCTAAATGTAAATTGAAAGCTAAGGATGGTAAATTTGTCAGCATGAAGTTTTAAGAAATTCTGTGATTTTTTTTCAGATTGACATATCCATTGGACAGGCAGTTAGCGTAGACAAATATGAAGAGAGAGTGATCAAGGTTAAAGTTAGGTGGTCAAGTCCTAATATCTCATATACTATAAGCAGTATGTCAACTATATTTGGTGTATGGAATGATTGTAAGTTGTACATGTGCAACTGGCAGGTATCATTTGACCTTGACCACAATTTCCTGGTTTATTAGACAAAGTTTAGTTTTTGTGGTTAGATGTATGTCTCAGATACTAGTAGCAAAAACTGCAAACAAATTGAAGATGGAATTATTTACCTGAATGCGTGATCTTGGATTGAGTATTTATTTAATTTTATGTATGTTGTTTAAATTTGTAAAGCGCATATTCTCCTTTATCAAAAAATCAAAATAAACTTTTTTTATTATTAATGTTACTATTACAATACTAAAAGAAATGAATTTCATCTTAAATTTCTTTGCAGTTTTTTTGCATAATCTTTCTTCTCTTGGCAATTTATGATATCTTCCCTTTTCTATAAATAAATTGTAAATTTTGTTATCAGTTTTCTAAATTCAAATTATGAGCAAGTTAAATATTTTTCTTCTGTATTATTTAGTTTTACATGTTTATAAATAGTGAGTTTGCTGTTATCCTTTATATCTGATATTTTATTATTTACTAGCTTTTCATAAAAATTCTTCAATTTTAATTATATTTGTTCTCCTTTAGTTTTATTTTTCTCTTGTGAGGAATATTTCTTCAATCCATACCAGTTTCTTCTAATACATGCTTTACATATGAGAACCAAGAATAAATTCCCACAGAGTCTAAGTTTTGAGTCAAAATAAAAATAAAAAATTCTTTAACAAGAGGATTAATGTCATCAGAATATAATCTAATAAGATACAATATATACTGAAATTTAATATTTAGTTCCAGAAGAAGTCTCCCCAGATCAGCTCTTGCACATAAATTTGATGAAGTTTTTCTTATACCAAATTTATATTTACCAACAGATCGACTGGAAAATATCTGTCATATTCATGAATTGGTACAGTCATTACCTGAAAAAAATGCTGGGTTAAACCTGGTTTAAATGTGTTTTTCTTCAAAAGAGGTAAGAACAATCTTGAGGAAGCCGGATAAACAGAATCAAATACTGAGACAAACAAAAAGACACGCCCGTGTCAAATTTGAAAAGGGTAGTTCCATGAAACCACAAAAAGTTAAAACAAAAACTTGGAGTTATCTATAAACTACATGATCAGGTCTGATATAAAGTTCTGTGTATTTTTGGATCGTAAATAAATCTTGAAATTTTATATAAATAGCGTGCTTTTTATGGTCTTTTTGATTCGGCTGACAGTTTTGATTGTCAACGTCTTATGCTACACTTCCACACAATATTTGCAAACAAAAGTTTTCCTATTTAGGTAAATATTCATTTGATATATCGGATTAAATAGTTGTGTGCTGCAACTCATATACAGCCTGTTTCTGTAATGAGAAAGGTAAATATGCTAGACATACCTACACGAAGTGTGAAGTGATTTTTATTATTATTTCATCAAATATCCCTTTTAAAGTCTCTGGGTTAGAGAGAAGGCTGTTACTTTGTTGGCATATAATTTTACTAATTTTAATCTATATAACAAATGTTTAGGTAAAATATGTATGTTACATGTGAACATCATTTTCGCTGTGAGTCGTTGTATATCTCGACAATTATCACAAAATACAATCCAATGTAATGATACAAATGTAGATTGGTATTATTTTTGCATGTTTAGTAAATAGTGATATACGCTTGTTGACTTTGAAAAAACAGTTCGTAAAAAAATAGACAACATTTGAATAAGAAACATATTTAAAGTTCAAATCACTTTTAAAAAAGGTAAACAATTAAACAACTGTAGTCTTAAAAAATTGAAAACAACACGTTTAATAATTTCATGCGTCCGAAGCGATTTTCTGGATTTACCCTCATCAGGAACGCTCAATGCCAAACATTTGAAATCCAAGGGATGTATAAGTACCGAAACAGTTGAAGAGCTTTATGATAAAAATACCTAAAACAAATAGCCAAATTCATCTAAGGTCAACTTTGACTGAGGGAGTTGAAACCTTAGTTTCTTTATAATTTCAAAATTTATAAACGGACAATTTTAGAAAAGTTTGTTATAAATCATGTCAGTACCAAAGTACTAACTACTGAACTGATGATACCCTCGGGGACTGATAGTCCAACAGCAGAGGTACCGACCCAGTGATGTAAAAAATTGAAAACAACACGTTTTATAATTTCATGCGTCCAAAGCGCTTTTCTGGATTTACCTTCATCAGGAACGCTCAATGCCAAACATTTGAAATCCGAGGGATGAATAAGTACCGAAACAGTTGAAGAGCTTTATGACAAAAATACCTAAAACAAATAGCCAAATTAATCTAAGGTCAACTTTGCCTGTGGGAGTTGAAACCTTAATTTTGTTTAAAATAATTTCTAGAGCTTTTCAAAACTGTCTTCTAATTATCTAAAATTGTCAAAATATGTAGTGTACCAAAAACTGAATGATCTCAGGTGCTCCAGCAGGGTAGGCAGATCCTGTTCCACTAGTGGTATTCGTTGAGTTGCTAATGTAAGTATAAACCTGATGAGTCCAATTCGGGGAAAGAGGTCGGAATTCCGATTACAACAACGTCTTCTTGAGTAGCAATATATAGCGACAATTAAATGTTTGATTTACCATTGCGAGAAATTTTGTAGATATAATATTTCGACCAGTTCGATTTCATATTTCACTTAGATGTCAATTGGAAACAAGTCTGTTGTTTGTACCTCAGATCGCTGAATACTTAAATTGTTGTAGTAATCTTATTATATTTCTTCTCCTCTTTGTATTGACGACGATCTATAATAGTCTGTGTTACGTTTGAGTACAACTATTTCATTTATGTATTTTACTGTTCGAAAGTAACATATTGCAATAGATATTAAAGGAACAGCAGGTATCGACATGTTTTACCTTTAGCACAAACTGAAATCAAAACCGATTTAATAAAATAGAAACCAAGGATAGTTGAGTGAGTTCGAATTCTCATATGTTAATTTAAGCGATAACAAGTTGATCTTATTCAAGATGAAAATAATGAAATAGTTTACTTTTGCAAAGCAACAATACTATTTTTTATTTTTGTTCAAACAAAAGGCACTGGCAGTTGCGAAATGAACATGATGAATGGAAACCCTTTTTTTAAACATTTATTTTCCAATTTAAAGACTTTATCTCAACATTGCATTGGTAGCAATAAAAAAAAAGAAACATGATGAATGGAAATCCTGTTTTTAAACATTTATTTTCCAATTTAAAGACTTTATCTCAACATTGCATTGGTAGCAATAGAAAAAAAGCAACATCAAATCCAGCATCTGGTTCATCTGAAAACAAAACAAAACAATCATTTATTGTTTACAAAATAAATCTTGATATAATATAAAAAAAAAAGGATTTTCTTCACAAACTTTAAGATTCTTCAAAATTGTTATTTTTTTTTTTTTGTTCTTTTCATAAAATGCGTCAAAATTCATATGTAGACGTTCGATCCTTGCATATAACATGTATAATTAGCTGACTGTTTGATTGTTGATGGTTATCACAATTGCTCTCAAATAGAATCTATCATATAAATCAAATAAGCCACATTGTATCGAAGTCCGCGTCACCGATCATTCACCGATCGGACAAGTGCACGTTAAAAAGTAACGCCTAAGATTGCAAGTACTGTTAGAGTAATCTAAAAACACTTCCTTCTTAACTGTAAAATTAACAAAAAAATAGGAATAATCTATTTGAAAATTGTTTTCCACTCTTTCATGCCTCATGTTGAAACTATTGGTTCCTTTATAAAACAGTCCAGAATTCTTTTAATTTTTTCCAAGACAAAATTGGGTAAGCAACCAAAACAGACATAATAGGTTACATTGTAATATAACAGTTATTTTAGTCTGACACCTTGTTTCAGAGATGTTGCAGAACTCACGTATAAAACGTGTATTCGTATCTGACAGATGGTATATTTATATGAAGTATTTGGGAAAAGAGTGTTACGGAGTTTGTCATTCCCATATCCTTACATAAAAGGATGAAGTACTGTATAAAAAGTGTTATTTTCAAGTAGTTTCAAAATTAACAAATGCAGGCGCGTAGCAACCCGTGCGCAAAAACGCAGGTGCGTACACATCGACAATTTGACAAAAATAAAAATATAGTAAATCTAGTAAGAAACTAAAGTAATAACCTAGATTAAAAAGTATTATAGAATTTGTTAATAATCACTTTGTAGCTATATTCCGTTCCGGAAACTAGTCTAATCTTTTCATTTACGGAACAAACATTGTGATTATGTTTCTGATGCAAACAATTAAAATGACTGTGTCCTCGGGGTTTCAAACACAATTGTCACGTCTTCTATGCCTCTTAACCCTGACATATTTTCGAAGATTTCAAAATAACTCATGAAATAGAATATGACGCTATAAAGAGACCATGGACATCTGAAATTGAAAATTCTAAGACAAAACAATCTCAATCATGATTTGATTTTAAAATCTTGTATAATAATCACACGTTGAGTCGAAAAGAAATAGTTTGTCATTGACTGTGGCCAATATTTTGGAATCATATACGACTGTTATACAAGTGATAGGTTTAGTAGCTATAATATGAATTTGCGTGTAACGTGTTTGCCGTTTTTTTTTTTTTTTTTTATTTGTTCTGTGTTCTTTTTTACGTTCAGTCATGTGAATGTGGATGCCTCGTTTAACGTGTTTCATCAATTTAATTGATACTTGCTTCGAGATTAAAAGTGCGCATTTTCCATGCTTCAAGATTTAAAGTGCTTGGTTTCCGTTCTTGATTAAAATTAAAAGACTCTTTTTTTGGAAGTTATTAAAAAAAATTGGGAATGATTTGATGCTTTTCCTTGTCGATTTTGAGACTTCAGACGTATAATATATATACAAGGACCAGCATAAGGTTTCCAACCTATGATATGCATTCGTTATAGTACATTTTTTATCATGCAACGTTCATGGACGAAATTATTTCACGTTCACAGTGAAATTGTTATTCCTACTTTGTATTTAACGTGTTTTCCCTGCAAGTACCCCCTTTACCAACCTTAACTAACTATCAACTAATATTATCTTTAATTCAATTTAATATCGTTGAAGTATACAGAATAAAGTCCACTATCGTACAATAGGACGTTTCATAGCTAGTTGGACACATAATAATCTGAAATTGAAAATCCCAAGAAGAACAAATTACCAATCATCACTTGATTGAAATTATCTAAACTCTGTTATATGTGTCACACATTGACTCGAAAAGACATAGTTTAGACTCTGTCATTGACTGAGTCTAAACTATTTCATTTCGAGGACTGTTCCTTTGATATAAAATTTGCGGATAAAATAGTGAAGATTGATACTTTTCCAGGGTGATTTCGAATTCTACCAGAAGATCAAAGGCTAAATTGTTTCTCGAACGGACTTTGATGAAATATTCAAAAGAAAAACAAAGCTAGTTTTACTGTGCACCGTGAAGGTTCTTTGGTTTAAAAAATGGAACGTCTAAGGAGAAGGCTTTCGGTGTCACTCTTGTAACCGACTAGGGCAACATTACAAAACTGATGCATCGTCAGATAACAATGAACAGTCATGAGACTTCTTTGGCAGCTGCAGATGACTTCCTCGGTGTTATAGAAGGAAAACTAAGAGTGTAAATCGACAGATCTCAAGCCATTATGATACAATTGTTACCAGGAATCTTCACATTTTTTAAATATTCATCGAAACAATCTATAATGTGAGGTAAACCTAAGATTGCTTTACAATGACACGTAGACAATAAGGGCAAATCAATGGCTCTATTGCAGATGACATGATATAGAAGCTAGGACAAAGCCCTCCTATGGAAAAACTTGGTATCAAGTCAACTATTAACATAACTTATCTTTCACCAGTAATACAAAGTGAAATAAATGAGATATGTGGGAAAATTATTAGTGACGATATAACTTGTTATGCAGCCCAATGTGTTGGATTCATGGCAGACAAGACTACAGATGTTGGTACGATAGAACAGATGGCGCTTTGTATGCGCTTTTATGATCCGAGCGAATTGCGAATTCGAGAAGACTTTACATGTTTTGCAGAATGTAAATCAACCCCAGTTTAGTCTCTGACCTAGTCTTTTTAAGAGAACCTTAGAGCTAAAAGTGCAAACAAAAATGCGTAGCGAGGGCTATGACGGGAAATACAGAGGCGTAATAATTAAAGAAGTGGTACCTGAAGCAGTCTATACTAATTATAAAGCACGCAATCTTAGCCTATCAATCATCCACGCTTGTAAGCAGCCGTAAATCAGGAATGTGATGAATACGCTACCGGAAATTGCATTCATATTTGACTAATTCGCTAACAAGTTTTGGCATTTCAAGGATCATCTTACTAATGAAACTGCATAACATAATATGGAATGGCGCCAAAAGCTGAAACCACTGTGTGAAGTAAGCTGGACTGCAAGATCAGAAGCCCTTTGCATGTTCAAATCTGCCTTTTCAACTGCTCATGCAGCTTTGGGAGAGTTATTTGTACAACATAGCGATTCTAAGGTGGGTCAAGCTGCTATCGAAAAGTTTGACTTTATAATTACCCTTATTGCTTCAGAACATGTTATATCAGCACCTATTGCATTGGCATACCTCTTAAAGAAAAAAGAATCTGACCTATTTGTTGCTGTTAAAGAGTCAAAGGTTATTGCAAGACAGCTAAATGAGGAAAGAAACGACCCAAATGTTTGGACCTCCTCGTACGATTCTGCATTTGAACTTGCTGCAACCGTCAATACGGATCCTTAAATGCCCATAGCCGAGGTGTCCAACGTAACAGGCCCAACGCACCAACTGAAACCCCTTCCGACTTCTAGAAACTGAACATGTATCTACCATTCGTTGATCATTTGATATCTGAGTTGAATACAAGACTGCTGACGACAGAGCCGCGTTCTGTCGTACCAAAGTTAATCCCCGAAAAAACATTGCTCAACTTACTATAGCTGTAGGAGGCATAATTGTTTATGATGCCCATGTTACAAAAGACGAATTTCGATCGGAAATTTGAAGATGGTTAGCAAAATGACTTGAGATTTTGATTGCAATCCTAAAAGCTTACAGGAAACATTAAACAAGGATTTATACCCGGGAATATTTAATATACTTAACGGATTCGCATTTATGGCAACTGCAGAATGGTCATTGTAGTGCATATTTATATATTAAGTATTTCAAAGTACATATGTAGTGCATTAGGTCTAATTTACATAAGGTAATTTGAAGGCAACGGGAAGATTAAAACTGATTATTTTGTGTGTACTTGATTAACAGACGTGCAAAACATGAGCCATACATTAACTGTCACTATTGAAATAAAATAATTAAATGCATTGATAGTTTTGAACTACCAATAAACTTGAAGCAAAGGATACAACAGATATCTATTTAAGTTTTTTATAATTTTATTTGAGAATACATGTACATTTAAATGTCAAAAAAGATTATATACAGTATATCAAAAACGAAATGAAACAAATTTCGTGGTTTAAAAACTATTTTTTTCATACTTTTGATTCCACAATTCAAATATATTTCAAATTTCCTTGACGTGTTGCGTTTTGTACTCCACGAAGTACAAAGTACAGGATAAGGAGAAAACGAGTTGGAGCGAAATTGGACTTTAAATGACTTTTTAATTTTTTTAATCGTTTGAATTAATATAAGAATACATGTTAATGAATTAAACATAGCTCTTTTCGGTTGAAATACTTACTAGCCATGAACAGACAGTTTATTGAGTATAATGTTGTTTTTTTATATTATAAAATCCGCGACCATCTTACTCAGATATGATTAAAATAGTTGAGGAAGCATTTCTTGCCCAATAAGATCATCTCACAAGAAGTGTATTTTCTGTTTATCAATTTGCCGATCACCTACATGATTGACTGTAGTTTAGAAATATGCCCACCCTTTGGGTGGTCTTCTGGTCGGCACTTAAACCAATGTTTGAAGTCTGTTCAGATGTGCGGGATTTTTAAGTTTGCAGACAACGTCCAATCAGAGGTGTCGTCTAGACAGAGTGTGTGTCACCCTTTCTGCATGTCAAGATCCCCTGTAACCTGTTTTTGAGGGGTTGATAAGTTTCATGTTGCAATATTATGCCTTATTTCACAAAGGCAAAATGTCCATCTATCAGCCCGGTTAACCCCCTTTTGGGAACCAAACCTATTGCATTTATCATTAATGTGTTCTCTTCTTGAACGTGTATGATTACTGAACTATTTATAATACTTTTAAGATTAAATAACTACGATAAGGACTTAAACAATCTTACCAGCATATTTCAGTCGCTATCATACAAACGTGACCGCAACCATTTGAACAACACAGCTGTCCTGGACCACATCCACCTCTCTGACACTCCTCAACGCATATACCGGCGCCTGGACTTGGAGGACACCCAAGCCTGCATGGGCCTACAAAGTTACATATATTATACAAGGTTAATATTTAAGAAATATTTGCCACAGAACGTTAAGTTAACATCGATTAATCATTCACGAACAACTAACATAATTTGTGTATTTTAATCTCATGATTTAAGGTATAGAACCACTAATTCAGGCCCGGTCAGAAAGAACATACAAGAAAGTAGTACATATTTTAAACAAAATAGTTCCTACGCATAGCTGTATCTTTGTCAATAGTGGGTATATTTGGGTAGTTTTTGGTATCAAATGAAAGCTTGTGGACTTGCGATCACTTTAGAACCCTTGTTGAAAGATTTATTTGAATAATAAAGAAGTATTTTGATAGGAGGGCACATTTGGCCTGTTGTTCAGATCAGAAGTTCCTGTTTTTGTACTAAAAAATTCCGGGAACCAGTACGCTCTAATATGCAATTAAAGGTATGTTGATTTTTTCAGCACAAGTCGGGATAAGGTACATTTTTGACATGAAATAACTGCCACTTTATTTGAACTTAAGACAAAGTAGCCATTAATGCTTGAAATTGCAGAATTTAACATAGAAAGCAATGGGGCAATGAATTAGTGGTTTTATACCTTAAAAAAACGAAGAGATTTAGTCAGTTAGATACCATAAACATAAACCAAAGGTATATTGTTTGGCTGATTCATAATCAACATCATTTGTTTTGTTTGTTGTCTATATGAAGAAAAGAAGAAAAAGGATGTAATTCGAGAAAAAGAAAAAAGACATCCTTGAGTCGTGTGTTTTCTTGAAAATATCAAAGTTATTTTTAAAATTCCAAAATAAACATTTCAATATAATATGAATTTCTATTGAGTCTTCAAGTAGTAAGATTTGAAAAAAAAGGCGAAAGATACCATGGATACCAAAGAGATTTTTACACTCATACATGTATGTCGAAAAGAAACTGATAATGCCATTGCTCGAAAAGAGAATAAAAGATGCAAAAGACAAATAACTACATACAACATACAACATAAAAAATAAACCACAACAATAAACAAAAATTGAAGCGCAACAGAAAGGTGGTGATGTACTTACCTTGACCACTGACTCCAGTGCTGCCAAAAAATATAAGAAAACAGCAACAGAGTAAAAGTCCACTCAACTTCTGCATCATGTATTTATAAAGTAAAACTGTGGTGTAGAATGGACAGCATGAATTATATATATAAAGTTATACATGATAAATTTCCATAATAAATCGTCCAGCTAAGAAACATTGTAAGGTTTTCCGGATTTTGACATCAGCTGTGAAAGTTATATAATTTCGTGATGTTGTAAACATTAAAATATATAGTCTTTCTATTTTTATGGTTAATTTTGCTATTTAATTATTTTGTAAACGTTACCTAGTGTCAAGACTTGTCGTCTGGCTGTTTAATATCCACTCTTCGTACATCAAAAATAGAAAATTGTTAATGGCACCCATACTTTTAATTTTTACAAAACATAGATGGTATTATACCGAACTTCACAAATTCCAGGACGATCCAGAAATACACTACGGACGCACAAAAGAAGAAGGTATGATAAGGTTATATTTAACACCTGCAGTTTAAAAAGCAAAACGTATTTTAGATAAAAAAAAAAATAACTTCCTTCAGATCTTAATAATAATATGTTTACATTTTGTCTTACATGTTTGCAAAAAATGCCACAGTTGCCTCATTTCGATATCTTGTCGTTACTATTTAGATGTGAGCAAAGGCTTCACCCAAAAATATGTTTATCTATATGTTTTACTTTATAAAGATTCTAATGCATGAACAATATCTTAGGATAAATCCTTGGCTAAATTTCATTTCGTCCAAAGATCAAGTTAAAAATTGTAATTTTAGATCAAGTTTTTGAAAAGTTTGACATGTTTATGACATCATGGTGACACCATAAGTGACCATTCTGCAATTAAGTGTCCGAATTATAACAGCCTTTTCCTTCAACAATTTAACTTATATTCGTTTGAAAGACTTGGATAATGTACTATTTTTGCAATATCAGGGGCCAAATGATGGCTCGTATAATATATTCTCTATGACGTTTTATTTCCAGTTACTAAAAAATGTTTTTTGATATCAGAAAGGGACTGACTATTAAACAGTAGCACCGAATAAATGAATACCAATATTTCAACGAGCTCTGTCAATGCACCAACAGGACTGAGGTATTGTAAGAAAAAGAACTCCGATATATCTGTTTTTACTGTATTGAATGTTAAGTCTTTAGTTTTTATAAAGGTCATTATTCCAGATCTATGTACAATCTATCTATATTATTAGATGAGAAAACATCATTATGTGTGTCGCTTCTCTTCCTTCCACAATACATTAATCATCACGTCTCTGTGTCCTATATGTACCATGCATAGTCGCATTTGTCATCCTCGCTTTTGATTATTCTTTATATTAACATATCGTTTATTTCGGGAGGAAAACGAAAATAAAGGCGTCCGGATATTGTTTCCGGCATCGGACGAACTTTGTAAGTCATAGGCTTCCGTTTAGGACTGCTTAAAATTACACAGAATTTTGGTAAATTTAATAACAACCCTTAATTCCTAACTTGATAACTCGAGCGTTAGCAAGGGATAAAATTAACGGATATAACGACCCAGACATTGTAAAAATGAAAACAAATCTATGGAATGCATGTATTATTTTGATTCTAATATGGAAAAGTTTCACACTGAAAACTGACTCCATTTCTGAATCAGTAAAATATGGCGTTTTAGGGCACAGGTCGCGTTGTGGCGTCGTCGATTTATATTGGTTGTGGTTTATTGAGTGTTTTATTATGTCTCTATTCATATGACGTAATAACCACCTCATATCAGAATTAGTTTGCTTTTTTAAAAGTCAACACCTTATTAAGTCTGACGCCATTTCCAGATTTCAGTAAAATATGACGGTTTTGTGCACAAATCGCATTGTTTATTGAATATTTTATTATGGCTCTATTCATAATTCCGTTCTGATTTGCAAATATCACATAATAATCTGATTTCATTAGTGCAATCCGTTTTGAGTGACTGAAATTGAAAAGGTTAACATATCGATTTTTCTGTCTTCTGCACAACGAAACAAAAAGCATGGAGACAAAGCAACTCGCCTCCTAAAAATTGTGCGTTCATGTTACTACTAATAGTTGTCCTTTGCGATGACATTCTTTATATCAACATCAAATATTTTGAACTGGTGAAAAATTCAAAATGTTATAATGACATCGGTTCATTTTTGATACCTTTCCTGAAATTATCAAGTTATAAAATCTTTTACAAAAATTCATCCTACAACAGTTTACATATTTTGACCACGCTCTAAATGCCCGCGGTTTCGCGGTTGTGTTATAGTTTACAGTTGATACGACATAGTCCCATTTTATTTTTTATATGTAAATAAAAATACATCTATATGTTCGTTTTCTAGAAGCCGTAATAAGCACTATGTATACTTTATAGTTCATTACTGCATCACAACTTTTTACGTTCTAGCAATGTCAGTTATGATACTGGTATTGGGTTATCTCCCGAAATCACAATTCGACATGTAAGCAGTGCTTTGGAAATGTCATAATTAAAATGAGACACTAAGAGATCAACATGAAGTCGTGGCCACCAAACAGGTGTATATACGATATGCCAATCTTTCAGCTGTGAATAAATTAACAAAGACTATAAAAAATACAAAAACCGCAAAATATGACATAACCTAACCACGAAACTATATATGGTATTCCGTGTAATTAGTATTGTTATATCTTCTTCGGTTTTGTCTTGATGAAGGTCATTATCCAATATCGCCTCTCAGTTGAAGAGTAATATAAACAACAAACCAACCTAACATAATCTAACAAATGCCGTCCCTAACTGCCAGACAATTTCACTGCAAAATACAGATACAATACAAACATATATACATGATAAATAACTGCGAATTTAATAAAGATTCATGTTAGGTCACTTGTCAAGATATCATGATGAATAGAACAAATTATAGTAGCGTATATGAGGTTCATTCAATATATATCTACGGTATAAATGGCCCACCCATATTAACCTTTCAGAATCGTGTAAAATACGAAATTGTAGTAATTTTGCAGAAATAATGTACTGTTTAATCGTGTCCATAATCATATGCAGTAAGTGTATTAATAAACAGTATACTTAACTGTTTTTAAAGAGATGAGTTGGGTTCAAAAACGGTTTTCATTTTAGCTGTTTAAACTTTTGTCTCGCGGTTACATGTACCTGTTGACGGTTCTCTAAGAAACCTCTTTCAATCGCTTGGAAATCAATAACTGCTTAATTGCAACTGTGTCTAAACAACTGCTAGTAATATAGTAGTCTCTGTGAGAATAAATATATCAGCAACAAGTGAGTTGGTACTAGAATGACTTGCAAACCGTTCGAGTTTATAAATTGAATGAAATTATTCAATTGGACCTCCTCTTATACTATGTCTGTAAACGGTTTTTGCCGTTGTTTAAGCAATTTGTGTTGCAATCGATAAGATCAGATCTGTTTCCACATAGAAAGAATTAAGAGAATTTTTTTAGCTTTTCGTTTTTTTTACATTTGTCTTTTTTGCATTTCTGCTTCGATATTTAAGGGATTCGGAGAGAGATTGTTTGGTATGAATTGTGTTTGGTAGTATGTATGTATGCCGGTATATATCTATGGTTTTATGGTTTCAATCATTTGTAATACGTAGCATTGCTTTTACAAATACGAAATCAATGCCTTTATCTAAAGATTTTGCAATACATACATCAACATAATAACTACAAATATCATATCTATTTAACATCTGAACCAAGTTAAGAATTTTACTACTGATATATATATATATATAATTATTAATCGAATACTTTTAAGGATGAGTGATTCGTTAAAATGTGATGTATTTACTCCGTGTGTACGCTTATACTATTGTGTTTAGCTTTTTGTTAGTCAAAAACAGCATAACACACAGATCATACAGCATTGTACTGAAAAATACATTCTTGAAAACCCAAATTTCATATTGTTCATGCAGTAGTTGTTGGTTAATAATACAACAATTGTTAATTTTAGAGAATTATTCGTACTTTGTCTTTAATAAATCATTCCAAACAAAGGCAGTCAAAATTCTGCTAAGTCGAATGCTACTTCTGCTAAGAATGGATTGATGCAAATATATAATTTATAGATATCAGATATTATCAATACAAATATAAAAATGTCTTATCATAAGAAATCTATCTGTTTATAAACATATTGATAGATTTTTTTAATAAAATAATTGTAGGACGTAAGTTAAACTAATACAAGTATGTTCAATAAGTTTCCGTACATAAACCATATATTTTCTCTACAAATATGACAGTAATTGCGTGTAAATGAGAAGGGAATCCGTGGACGTTGGTTTTCGCCTTATTTCAAATGCAATATTTTTTATCGATCGATATTGAAATATTTAACAGATATACTTACGTCGATAACTTACGTCAATGGAGAAAACATTTAAGACACAATAACACAACCGCGACATTTCACGCTGATTATTGGGTTGTTTCTGCTTTCAAAATCGTTCTGTTTGAACCCGTCGACTGGGACTTATTAATTATTGGTAGTATTAATTATTTGGAAAAAAAAGGGCCTGCAATGGTATAATTGTAATCAACACCATTGTCCTATATTAGTTATATATAAAGTTGAATTCTTTGATTTGTCTTTTTTACTCCTTGCCGGATAACAAATTAGACCACGTTATTTTAGTATTATAGATACGCGGAACAGGATGAATCCACTCACTTTTGGCATTATGTCGTCGTTTCATTATGCAATATTGTCACATGTTGTCACATTTCACTCTTAAATGGTGTATCACTTTTTTTAGTGCAGTAATGAATGACAGAGACATGATCTAGTAAATTTTAATTTGAGGACAGTTGACAGTTTGTTTGTACTATAAACCTCTATAAATAAAATTCATCATCTTAGTAAAGTATACATACTTCATTGACTTGCGCAAAGGTTTTGATCATGTGAAGTGTAAAGCTTTTGTCTTCAAAAGTCTGCAATAAATGCATGTCGTCTAATACAACATGTACAATGTCAGCACTGAAAATTAACAATTGTTGTACTGTCTACTTGGATATAAACAGAGAAGTTGGCAAAGGGGGATCTGTAATCCTACCC